CTTCATATGCTTCTATTAGGCTCCATTTTTTCCATCTTATTACATTATTTTTAGTAACATCTAGATTACAGTCTCCTGCTATCAGCAGTTGTCCTTCCGCAAATTTCTGTATTTTTGAGAAATTTTTTATCAAAAATCTTTTTTGTCCTTTATTGGGAGCATAGATATTTACTAATGTTATTAATTTGCCTTCAAATAAACATTTAACAAACAGATATCTTCCCTCCTCACTTGCTATTATTTCTCTTATCTTAATATCATGCTTCTTATGTACTAATATTGCCACTCCCCTAGCCTTAAATTCACTTCTAGCCTCAGCCAGCACCACCCATGCTGGGTCTTTAAGCAGCGGTTTATTATCCCTCTTCGGTTTATGTGTTTCCTGCAGGTACATAATATCTATGTTCTGTTGTTTGGTAAATCTGGAGAGTCTGTATCTCTTTAAATCAGAGCTCATACCATTCACGTTCAGTGTCAGCACTTTTAACCTTTCAGCCATACTCTTTTACTCTAAGTTTGCCTCCCCCCCCACGCTGAGAGTTAATTCTTGTTCTGTTAACTTTGCTTACACTTCTCCCCTTCCCTCCCCCCTCCCACTGTCCCCCTTGTGTAGAGCTCTTGTTTGAGGAGGAACAACTCATCCTCTCTCTACACCTTCAGGTGTGTGCACCACCCCCCTCCGATAGTTTAGTTCTTTCCCATTGCTAGTGACCTTTTGTTTAATACTTCCCTTAATTTTCTGCCTCTAGGAGCTTGTCCTTTGCCTCTTTTCCTGGTGCGTAGAAGGGCCTGCTTCCTCATCATCTGTTATTGCCGGTTCCTCCATCTCTATTTGCTCTTCCAGGTTCCTTGTTTCAAGCCCCAACTTCTCGAGTAGTTTTGCTGCCTCATGTGGATCTCTTGCACTTAGTCTTTTTCCTTCTTGGAAGATGATTATAGAGGCTGGGTACGCCCAGCTAAATTGTATTTTATTGTCATAAAGTTGCTGGGCATATGGTTTCATTAACCTCTTTTGGTTCAGCGTGTCTTGGCAGAAATCTTGCCGAACGTAAGTTTTTTTTCCTTTATAGTTTAATCCCTTAATTTTTTTTAAGGTTGAAAATATCTGTTGTTGTTTCTTTTCTCTTGCAAATTTTACAATTACTGGGCGGGGTTCCCCCCCTCTTCTTTTTGTTTGCAGCCTGTGTGCTCTCTCTATTTGGTCTTCTTTCAATTCTATCCCTTGTTCCGATATCCATTCCACCAAACATTGCTCCAAATTCTTTTGCCCCACGTCCTCTGAAATTCCATGTATTATCATGTTTGCCCGTCTGCCTCTATCTGACAGTTCTGCAGCCTGTTTCTTTAATTGAGTGATTTGTTCCTTGTTAACTCCGGCCATGCTCTTTGCTTGCATGGCCATTTCCTTCACTCCCCTAATTTCTTCTTTAATGTTTTTAAGCTCCTGTTTAACGTCACCAATCTCTTTTGATATTTTTTCCTGTGAGGCTAACACTAAAGCTTGAAATTGGGTAAGTTGTTCTGAAAGAGCCTTCACTGTCGTCGCCATGACAATTAATTAGCTGGCTGCAGCCTCTCTTATCTGTAAGGGTTGATAACTTTCCTCTTACCCTGCCAAGCCAGGAGTTCTTCGGCACGCCTTGTTCACTGTTCTTTTAGAGACCTCTGAGGCTGTTCTCTGGCAGTTTAGTGAGATTAATCTCCTCTTTTAGGTCATAAATCTTTCATCAGTTCGGAGCTGGGGGAGCGACGGCGTCTGTTCTTCAGAGCATGCGCACACCAACCAACAGGTCTTTGTTCTTGAAGATTGCCCCTCTCCCTAGTTGGAGCAAGGTTGAGCTTGTATGCATACTTCAGGAACGCTGTACAGTGATGGGGACCTGATAAAAGGTGTAGTTAGCCATAACAGCAAGTGGTGGTTTGTCATTATGGATGTGGGCTTGGGGGGAACATCAAGTTCATATGGTTTCTGCTTCTTCCCTGTACAGCCATTTAATTAGCTTTCATTGCAAAAAAGAGAGACATTTATCATGATGTCTGTACATATAATGGTTTACGTCCTTCTCTACAAACTGGAGTTCTAAACCGTGGTTTAATCTCTGTTTGGAATCCTAGTTTGTAGGGAAGAGGGGGAAATGCTAGTGGTTCGGTCGTAATTGACAAACTGCAATTTGCCACTGAGCTTTTTAACTAGATCACTGGAGAAGAGGGTGGGATTGCCCTAATCCTTCCCAGCTCATTTAATGTAAGGATGAACTGTACTTTTTCATTGTCTCTGAATGGCACCAAAACATGTTGCAGGATGGGTGTTGCGGGCAGGTTATCAGCCGGCCCTTGCCGTCATTTTAGAAACCTTTAGAATTTTGCTGTGTCCAACTGACTTATGGACCAATCCGTTTTCAGGTCAAGAACAAATTAGATGGTCAGTTCTATGCGATTAAAAAAATCCTTATTAAGAAGGCAACCAAAAGAGATTGTATGAAGGTATGCATTTATTTTATTATACTTTGGATGGTTTGTTTGCCCTATGGGTATCGAAGGCCCATTATACCCATGTTTAACATTCACTGCTAAAGGCCAGAGACCGTGCCACAATAGTGAGCAGGGGGGGAAAACCCACCGTTCTAAGCAAATATATATTCAGTCCATCTTAATAGTTATCTGAAAAGTTCAGAAGTTATTTTATCTGCAGTGAGGAGAGAGAATCGATGCAAAGAACCCACAATTTTTATTAATCACAGCCTCGAGGACAAAGGAGCCTTTGATACTGCCAACAATCTTTGACTGTAGACAGCAGGAGCTTTCTGGCTTGGGGGGGGGGGGGGGGGCTTGAGGAGGACAATTGCCTGGTGTGTTAAGCTTTGAAACAGCACACCAGACCCTCGTGAGAACTGGCCCAGGAGCTCTTACCCTGCTCCCCCTTAAAGGATCCCTCCTCCATTCAAGCCCATAGATTTTGAGGCTTGTGGGAAAGACTTTTTTCTGGTGGGACTGCCATTATTTGCCATAATGAAGGGGGGAGGTGTCCCTCTCCCTCCCCTCCTGCAAGATTTAAAGGACCCTTCAGCTGATCAGCAGGGAGCACATGGCCCATCAATCAGCTGGAAGGCCTTTTAAATCTTGCAGGAGGGAGGGGCGCACGCCACCACCTGCGGCTTGGAGTGCACGTGTGTGGGGGGTGTTCCTCTTTCCAGAAGCATTTAAAGGGATCCTTTAAATGCTTTGGGGAAGAAGCGGAAGGCAGCGCACACCTGCAATCCAAGTCAAAAATTCAGCTGGAGGGCCCTTGCAGGAGGGGAGGGAGAGGGCTGCGTGGCGGGGGGGGGGGCTTGAGGAGGACAATTGCCTGGTGTGTTAAGCTTTGAAACAGCACACCAGACCCTCGTGAGAACTGGCCCAGGAGCTCTTACCCTGCTCCCCCTTAAAGGATCCCTCCTCCATTCAAGCCCATAGATTTTGAGGCTTGTGGGAAAGACTTTTTTCTGGTGGGACTGCCATTATTTGCCATAATGAAGGGGGGAGGTGTCCCTCTCCCTCCCCTCCTGCAAGATTTAAAGGACCCTTCAGCTGATCAGCAGGGAGCACATGGCCCATCAATCAGCTGGAAGGCCTTTTAAATCTTGCAGGAGGGAGGGGCGCACGCCACCACCTGCGGCTTGGAGTGCACGTGTGTGGGGGGTGTTCCTCTTTCCAGAAGCATTTAAAGGGATCCTTTAAATGCTTTGGGGAAGAAGCGGAAGGCAGCGCACACCTGCAATCCAAGTCAAAAATTCAGCTGGAGGGCCCTTGCAGGAGGGGAGGGAGAGGGCTGCGTGCCACCCCCTCTTCTTCTCAGAAGCATTTAAAGGCTCCCTTTAAATGCTTTTGGGAAGAAGCAGGGGGCCTTTAAGGAAGGGGGCAAAGCCCCCCAATAGCCCCACCATGGCTATGGGCCAGCCTCCATTGGATCATGTGGGAAGCCCTTAACCCCAGCTATAGTCCATCTCCAGTCCACAAATGTGAGAGCATGAACTAATGATGAGAGTGCTCTGTCTGAGTACCAGGGCTCTTGGAATCCCCTTGGCGGCAACCCCCAGCTCCATTGCCGATTGTAGACCAGGTACAAATTCCACCCTAGCTCTAGCCAGCTATGACCAGCCTGGAGATCTGCACCAAAGGAACCATTCCCCCCTGGACTGGATGTATAATTGGGATGGGAAGGAGGGGCAGGCAAAAATTGAACTCTGACAGCTGTGACTGGGTCTGGTGCTTGATGCATTACCCTGGGATGGAAGGGGGGGGGGATTTCCACTGATCTGTCTCAGCTGACCACAGCCTGCCTTGTGCTTTCAAGGCATACAGGTAGTAATGTCGAAATGTCTGGAAGCACTGAGCCTGGAGCAGGCCGCTCCGCTCCGCTGTTCTGTCATTCCTCTCCCCCCCCCCCCCCCCAGTTAAGGACACAAAGGCACACGCCTGCTGAAGACGGAAAGCTGGGCTTGTGCTGCTGCGGGGAGTGAGGTGGGGGTCGGAGGGGATGAGAACAACACCTAGACTGGTGCAAAAAACCGGTCCACAGCTTTTCTTCCCAGCTCCCAGATGTTGTGGCAAGGTAGCAGCCAGTCTGTGCTGGTTGTGCCTGCCGACCACCCCCTCCCCCAAGGGTGGGGCTGCGTGCCAGCCCCTGAAGTGAGCCGGCTTTGGGTACCTTTGCAGTACCCCACCCCCTCCTTACCCTGATGATAATTTTTGCCTCTGCTCCGTCACCAGCTTGCCTGACTCTGCTGCCAAACCACTGGAGGATGCAACAACTCAGTCAGCACTCAGTGCAGCCTGAAAAACCAACATCTTTGGTTTTATGGTGCTTTTATTCCCTGGCATTTTTTAATTGAGAAGTCCTGTTTATTTATATTATTTGTTTGTTTAATTTGTATCCCTCCCTCCCTGCCGAGGCAGACTCAGGGCAGCTTACAGAAAATGTGTGTGTGTGTGTATAAAATCTCCTTATATATAAAAGAGATTTGGAATGGCTTCTGTCCTATGGGGTGGCAAGATTGCATGCGCTTCCTCAGCCATTGGTTTTTCGGCTGCCAGTCAAGACTACTGGCGTGCCATTGGCTGGGGGGGGAGGAACGAGGCTAGCTGCCTTGGCCCCCGCGCGGCTGGAATGGGTGGCGAGCAGGCAGTGGGGAGACGGACGAGGCCAGCCGCCTTGGATAGCCGGGCCTTCGCTCAGTCACAAAACCCCCACAATGTATAAGATCATAGATGCTAGTAAACATAAGTGCTAATAAATGACGGCGGCATTGTCTTGGCATCCAGACTTATTTATTTGTTTCAGTGGCTTGTTTTGTTTTTTGTTTTGGTTCGGACACATTCTGGAGAGGCAGCATACAAAGGCTTTAAATAACTGAGATGTTGTTGCCCAGCTCTGAAAAAATATACCCCCATCTGCCTGCTAGCAGTCGGTCTACCATCCTAGCTGTGGAAACTGCCGCCCAGCCCAATCTCGTTAGAACTCGGAAGCTAAGCAGGGGTCGGCCCCGGTTAGTCCTGGGATGGGAGACCACCAAGGAAGTCCAGGGTTGCCACGCAGAGTCAGGCAGTGGCAAGACAACCTCTGCTCATCTCTCAAATTGAAAATCCTACGGAGTCGCCATAAGTCGAGTGTGATACCATTCTGCTCACCCAGTTTCCTAGGACCGATTTCTCCCTCACACTGGCACCTTTCCATCAGCTTCTGTAAGAGGTTCAGGATCCTTGGGAACAGTTGATGTCATCAGTTGCTTGTTCTGCACTGGGAGGGGTTGAGGCCCTCCCAGTCTCTTGCTGTGAATGACAGGGGTATCTGGAGGGCTGTCCCCTACCGGTTCTTGCTGCAAGACTGGTCTCACTGCTTACCTCTGAGCCAGGATGTGTGCAGGTTGTCCGAACGCCCGCCTTCTGCTTGGCCTTGAGTGAGGAAGCCCTGCCACCCTTTCAACTGTCGACCTATAGCTGGGCATAGCAGCAGTAGCAACAGCAGCCAGGTCAGGCAGGAGGCTTGCATGACAGAAAACCTAAAACCTTAACTAGGGCTCAAGAGTGCCACCTAGAACTTCTGGGATCCCGGACTCCTGGAGGGTGACGTTAGAAGGACCCATTCATTTCCATTACACATTGGACCATCCTGCCACACTTAATCCCTTTTGGACTAAAGGATAATCTGACTTGGACCAGACTACCTATTTGTCATGGAAGTTCAAGAGCCGTTACCGGGTGCTCGTTGAAGGTGGGGCTACATTTCATATGTCTCTGATTGGTAACAGGAGCCTCTGACATCAGAGAGGTGGCTTTGCATATCATTCGCTAAAGCAGCTTGTTGCTTTTAGAAAGGAGGCGGGCTTAGTTCCTGTTCCATTGGACCATAAATACCTGGACAGATTTGGGATTTTCACTTGTCTTCAGAGAAAACTGAGTCCACAGGAGTTTGGGTTAAGGAGTCCTCTGACTTCGTGTTACTGCAAGGAACTCTGCAGTTGCTCTGAGGCACCTGCTATAACTTAGAAGATGTGTGTTTAACTTAATTAGTTCAACTTTATTGCTGTATCCACCCACCGTTTTCATTTTGTTCTCTCGCATGTATAATAAACCTTTTTATAAATACATTTGGAGGGAGGCTTTGCTTAGTACAATTTATTTCTCCGGGATATGTCTGTTAATCTCTTCCCCACATACTGGACCGCACGAGTGCTGCACGGCTGGTTATAAGGTGTTTTCTAAGGTTTCTGCCCTGACACTTTGTTCTTGCTCTAGTACTGCACTGGAAGAGTACCTTTACAGCGGGTCAGCTGAGATGTTTTGAGGAGGTCCCGAGTAGCAACAACTGGTTACCAGAGTGTTTTCCGAGGAACCCTTGCTCTAAGGGAGTTTCCCAGCAAGGAAAGAAATTATCCCTCCCCCCCCTTCCTACCATAACAGCTTGGTGAGAGGTGTTGGTGGCTGTCCGTCCAAAGCCACAGTGCTGCTGTCAGGAAAGGAGAGGACCGAAGAGAAGGGGGAACCCAGATCTTACAGTCAACTGCAGCCACTGTTTGAATTCTCTGTCATCGATTTGACCGATAAACTACTTCAGGGGATCAGCAAGCAGAGGAATAAATGAATGCCTCAGGCGAGAATGCTAGCAAAATATGGGTCCTGCAGGATGAACTTAAAGAAGATAGCAGTGCAGATAAGCAGACTCCTCCTAGACTGACAAATGCCCCCTCCCCGGGGACTGAGCACAATCCACGTGCAGCAGCTGACGGGGCAGCCCCGATCCTAAAAGAATACGCCCTGTATTCTTTGGATGGCAAATCCAGGGAACCAGGCTTTACTTATTGGGGCAGCTGTGGACCGAGACGTAGTAAGGGTGGTCCCATCCTGATGAAAGAAGAATCAGTCCTGAGAATTGGGGCAGAGGGCATGATGTATATTAATGACATGGAGTGGGCACAGACCAGTCGAGGGTGCTGCCCATGAACCGATGGTGGCCCCGGCCACTGGTAATGTGCACTTTTCAACAGCCCCCGTGGCCAAGGCTAGTTTGATGTGCCTCTCTTAAAAGACAGCATTAACTTTCCCACTCTCAGGAGCCTGAAGGAGGCTAGGGAAAAGTGGGGACTGAAGAGAACACTGCAAAGTGACACCAGTATATTATCTTCAGGGTATCACTCAGCTAAGCCGGGTCGGTAGCTGGAAGGAAGACTCTGCAGAGGAAGGCAGTGGCAAACCACCTCTGCTTCTCACTTGCCTCGAAAGACCTTTGCTAGAGTTGCCATAAGAGGGCTGCAACTTGTCGGCACTTTACAGGCACGTAGGCACATACACATATTGCTCAGCTACTAGAGCATTTCAAAGGTTATTGACTGCCTGTATTCAGGCTTTAACTGGGAATATGTGGTGCTAGCCCTCCAGGGATCGTGAGCCTGGAAAGACGTCTCTGTATCAGCAAAAGCAGTGGGTTTACGCATACACACACACACAATGAAATGACTGTCAAGCAAATAGATATAGTCTTGGGTGTGAAACCTCTACTTCTTAAAGGGGGTGGCGAGGATCAAGCACAGATGCCTTTGGAATTTACCATTCACTTGATACTGCCCTGAAGAGCTAGAGAAGATCTACAGGATTCACAAGTCAACATCTAGGAGTGCAGAGTGACCAACAGGTCAGAGTTCAGAGTATTTTTCTGGGAAGGGAATATGGATCAAGAGCAGAACCTGTCCTTCTGAAAAGGAGACCGGGCATCTGCTGTGCCATATATACCCCGGGGACATCACAAGCTGAAAATGAGGTATTGGCCAATGATCACAACATACTTTATTGGGCACATAAACAACTGAGATTTGGAGGACTGATCTTATCACTGCCTGGTTGTCAAACCCCAAGTTGCCCTCTCGTTCTGAAGTGCCCATGTAGAATACCAAAACTGTTGAGAAGAACCCTAGGAAGATAGGGTGCCTAGTGATCTCAGTGCTTGGCCTGGCATGTGGGCTACTTGATTACCGGCAGTCCTGTGTAGAAACAGCCAAAGCCAAGACTCCTGGTCACGTCAGAATTGACTGGTAGTTCTGCTTGCTGATGGAGGTTATCTTGCTCAGTAGCAACTCTGGTAAAGCCCAACGAGGAGAGCCACACTGGTCAAAGTTATCTTCCATACCTCTTGTGATCACTAGGCGATGATGGGGAGAACGGATACCTGTGGCAGCCCTGGCCAGCTGTGCGCAGATGTCTCTTCTGGCGTTGACTGCTGCGCAGGCAAAATACCCCATCAACACATGGATGCTCTGCAGTCTGCACTTGCTGCAGCAGAGAGCGTGTTTGAGAAAGCCTCGCAGCAGGGCCATCTGAACCTCGGGGACATGACCAGTACCTGTTCCTCCATCAGCTCTGATCGTCAGGTAATTTTTTTCATTTGCTGAGGGGTACACAGGTCACTGGCAAGTATCTCAAAGGCATGCTTCCTGCCAACAAAGAGGAAATCATCCAGGTAATGAGTGACTTGGTCTATCCCAGGGGTCCCCTGCCTCTTTAGGTCTGTGAGTACCTTTTAGAATTCTGACCCAGATGGCGGAGCCAACCACAAAATGGCTGTCACAGAAGACCAAGCCAGCCATAAAATGTCAGGAAGAGAGCTTATGCGTAACTCTTAAGCACTTCAGCGTTTCAGGCAGAAGCTCTGCTTAGCAGGATGCCTTTTAAAATGAATGTACTGTTTAAAACTCTTCTTGCATGCACACAGCTTGCCTTCAGTCACACAGTAGTTGGAGTCAGTGTTCCCTTTAAGCCGCACTAGTGTGAGCTAGCTCACAGTTTTTTAGCCTCTGGCTCACACATTTTTGTCTTAGCTCAGGAAGGATGGCTCCAGAGCAAACTAATTTATGCCGTAGCCAGATCGCTCGCTCACAGTTTTAATGCCAGGAGCTCACAAAGTAGAATTTTTTGTTCACAGGACTCCACAGCTTAGAGGGAGCATTGGTTGGAGTGGCTGCCAAAGCAGCTTTTTAAAAAATCTTCACAGCCCATCAGATATGTGGCCATTCAGAAGCCCTGCTGGGCCAAAACCCCACGCGACCCTGCCCACTTTCTGAATGCACTTGGCAAGTGCCAAGAGTGGTGTTGGTGGGTGCCCTGTTGGGGAGGCACCCCCAGTAGTTCCAGTAGGGGAAAATATGTTGGTGAGAGTTGGACAAACTAAAATAAAGGGGAGTCAGATGATGAATGGGCCCCTTTGATTTTGGTCCTTCTCTCGGCCATGGCGACTGATTGTCTTGCCACGGAGACCGTGGGCTCATTCAGGCCACAGAAGAACTTCTTTCACCTGGGATTTGATCTTGGATGCAAAGTCTGACCCTGGTATGTTTTATCAAGACCAGGGTGGAGGAATCAGGGCCGGGGTGGTGTGGGGGAGATATTCTTTCCCAGTTTACTGTCTGTTTCGGAGCACAGTTCAGAGTGCTAGGGCACCCATTTCCTGGATGTTTTAAAAATACTGAGAGAGGGGTCTTAGCATCACAAGAACCATCTTCTCCAATGTGAAGCCTCTCCATGCATGAAGGTCTGCCTTGAAGGTTTGCTGTTTGTGACCTTCGGTGTTTCCCCATGTTTTCTGTGGGCTTGCTGGTCTTCCTGTATTTTTTTCCTGTTCTGTTCTGATGAATTAGTATCTCTGCTGTAAGACATTTTACGTGATTTTTGTCTGCTGCTGAACTATTTTTTACAATATTTTTTCTTCAGGAATCTTACTACTACTGCTTTTGTCATTGCTCAGCTGTCTGTATCAATTGCCTTAGTGTTTTTTTTTACAAATGTTGTATCTTTTCGTACATGTTCTTTACTTCGGTCACACAGTGGCATAAATAAATAACGCATGTTCTCGAAATGAGCTGAATTTTTCAAATGCGGCGCAAGCTATAGGGCACGGCACCCCATTGCCATGGTCTTGTCAAAGTACCTGCTTCAGTAGAGGAGGTGGGGGGGGGGAGTGGAGGTTTCTTTCCTAGCTTGACAAGATTGGGTCAGGAACTCTCCACATAAGAAAACCTAAGGCCCTTTCCAGCAGCAGCAGTACAGCACTGGTGCAGTTGTGAGTGAATTTACATTATGCAGCGGCCTAGCTCATATCCCATAGAAGTCGTTGCTGTCTCCGTCGAGATGGGGGAAAGGTAGGCAACAAGCTTTTATCTTTGGGAATGAGCACAAACCTAAAAATTCCGGTTTGGGTTTTGGGGAGGCCTTTGAACCAAACCCGTCTGTTTCGCTTCCCCCTGCTTCAAAGCGAAACAGAGGGGAGCAAAATGGATGGGTTTAAATGGCTGGCAGCTTTTTAAACCTAATAGCGGATGGGCGGACCTGTCCCACTGTTAGGTTTAAACGGCTCGCAGCCGTTTCAGCCTGACAGTGGGGCGGTGCACCTGTCAGCTGGCAGCCATTTCACTGGTCCATGTAGCCTCCCCCACTTGGCTTACTGATCAAGGAGTTAAATATTAGTCTCTGTGAGCCCAAAGTATTGACCTTCAGAGGCTGCCTGTTGTGTCTTTTTATGATTACTGCTCTGGTCTCGCCTCTTTGAAAGTTGGCCTCCACAGGAGGGAGAATAATTCTGCCGCATCTTGTGGGGGGCCCCCAGTCTTTTTGAGCCCGCTGACGCCTTTGGAATCCTGACACGGGGTGGGGGCACGTCTACAGCTTGGCTGCCGCAGAAGGCAGAACCGCATACACAGAGGAAGCCCAGGTGCAGAGGGAGGGGAAAGAGGGATAATTTTAAAAAAATACACTGGGAAGCAGGAGCGAGAGAATAGAACCAATCCTATGGTGTCCAGCCAATCAGATTTCCAGAGGCCAGTCATAGAATCAGAGTTGGAAGGGGCCATACAGACCATCTAGTCCAACCCCCTGCCCAATGCAGGACCGGCGTAAAGCATCTCTGACAAATATTCGTCCAGCCTCTTCTTGAAAGCTGTCAGTGAAGGGGAGCTCACCACCTCCCTAGGCAGCTGATTCCACCTTTGAATCACTCTGCAGGGCAAAAGCCCCATGTGGTCCTCTCTACTTTCTAAAAATGGTTGGTGGGCACCACGTTGGGATTCCCTAGTTTGGAGAATTGCATTCTCTTAGAGGAGGCTCAGCCAGAATGTCAGAACTGCTGCAGCAGGTTCCTTTTGTGGCCAGGAATTTCACTCTGATGTACTCTAATGTGTACTCTTTTCGAGGAGCAACATGTGCTTCAGATTTTATTTCGAAAAACGAATTTGCTTTCCTTGTCAGAACTTCTGACAGTAGCTGGCAAGAAGACTTGGATATATTCTCTTTGGTCTGTTTCGGTAGGTGTTACGAGAAGTTAAAGTGTTGGCTGAACTGCAGCACCCGAATATTGTGGGGTATCACACTGCTTGGATGGAACATGTTCAACCAGGCTGCCTAAAAGGTGAGTGTAATTCTCACCTTCACAATCGTAGTGTGTCCTCTGGATGAGGTGCATATCCTGATGAAGATCTGCCACTCCTGTAGCATTCGAGGAAAAAAAGGGATTGTAAATTAAAAAGGAGTTTACGGAATATGACCCTGGTCTGCGCCAATCGAAAGGCAAATTCAGCCTTAAGCATTAGGGAAGAGAGTAAACAAACTCAAAATGTATGATGTTTAGGCGACGGATGAGTATACCACAGCCAAATTCAGTTCTTTTAGCCATAGGTAGTCTTCAGCTGTTGATGGCGTTTAGCTCTGGGGAGGTGCTGTGGCTCAGTGGCAGAGCATCTTTGCATGTTGAAGGCCCCTGGTTTGTTCCCTGGCAGCTTCTTTCATTCTAAAGACCAGGTTGCAGGTGATGTGAGAGATGACCACCTGAGGCCCTGGAGCGCTGCTGCCAGACAGAGAAGACTGACCAAGGCAGCTTTATCTCTGGGCTTCTCTTCTGCTTAATTCTCAGGGTGCAGAGGTCTTTCGGTAGTCTCCAGGGACACGGGGGATGTTGGGTAGGGGGCAACTAAGCTCTTCCATGGCACGTAGGCTTTGAATGCCTCCGTAAGGCATTCTCACCGGGACCCAAGGCGGATTACTCAGAGTGAGTCAGTACAATCAACAGAATGGGACATTAAATAAACAATGAAAAAGGATTGTAGAAGTCTGGAATCAACCAGAAATCTAAAAACCAGAATTGAAGCAAAGCACAAGTATTAACATGATGCAGTAATCGATGCAAAAGTTACATAGTAGGAGCTGACTTACAGCAAGCTGTACACAGTAGTATAGACCACAGTCCCTCATCATTTATACAGGTTCATAAATTATTTTGTTCAGTGCATACCTGTTATCCATGTAGAAAAGTTATCTTGAATAATTCAGTTTCGTAGAAGGCCAGGAGTGTGGGAGCCTTCCTGACCTCACCAGGCATGCCATTCCCATAAAGTAGAGGCCACAGCAGAGAAAGCACATGTGTAGTTGTTGATTTTGCCCATTTTCAGGGTGGTACCTGCAGAAGTCCCTGCTCAGATGAGCGAAGGTGTCATGGCGGAGCATAGGGGTGGAGAGGTGGTTCTGCAGATAAGAGGGACCAAGGCCATGAAGGGCCTTGCACGTGATAGCCAGTACTTTACATATTGTGTGTGTGTGTATTTCTGTATGTACACACACACCAGGTAGGGTGGAAGTGCCTTTGTGAGGTTTGAAGCTTGTTGGGTAGGTGTGTCTATTTCTGGAACATTCTGACATCTGAATTTGCGTTAATCAAGAGCATGATGGTTTAAATTACCTACACAATTTAAATTGCCTGAACAACTTCATTTAAAGCATAATTTTCCTGCTGTTCAAGTCTCTGTTTTTGTTAAGAGTTTCATGTCTCTGTGTTCGTTTGCAGCTGAGAAGACCTTGGACTTGCCATACCTGAAAATGACTTCTAAAGCAGGAAGTACTAAGTATGTGACAAGAATTGTTTTTGTCAGCCTCCCTGCCCTCCCCATAACCCAAAATTTTGCCAAATTGGTCTTGTTTTATAGTAATGAGGATCTATTCTTAAACTAGTCCTGTTCCATCTGCTTCTTACTCGGAGAAAGTGTCCCCCCCCCAATGCAGTGCATTCATAAGTTGCATTCCCCCACCTGCACTTTGAAGTCAAGCAGCCCTGTTGTGGCCCACTCAGATCTCTTAATCCCTAACTTCGCTGCATGAATAAACCACAGCTGAGTGCCGAGTTATTTTCTTAGTGTCATACAAATTTAGGTTAATTTACTGAGAAAGCATTTAACAGCCAGTTAAGTCTAGCAAGATGGAAAGCCACAAGAAGGCAAAGCCCAGCTGGTGCACAACGGCAGCTTATCTGGAAAAATAATAAAGTTTTTAAGATCTTCCAGAATTTCTACTTAGCAACATAATCTGTAGTCTAATCCTTTACCCAAGCATTTTACTAACATAATCCATAGTCTAACTCTTTACCCCAAGCATTTTTCTGAACCATTTTATTACAATGCTGCCCTATTATGTATGTAACAAAGTCCTCTTGAATAATATAGAAGAACATGACAGTCTAGCCATTAACTACTTGTTTGTTTTATTGGCTTTGGAAGAAGAACACTTCTGTTCTTTGCTGTTTGTTTTGCAGAGGTAATTGCAGTGTCGAAGAGATGGAAGAGAGCAATTCCATTATCTTTGCCGACCCCAACAATGGAGTCAGTAGGGATGAAGAAGGAAGTAAGACGAATGTGTACGAACTCTCTGCTGATTCCGACGACAGCAGCTGTACCAGCGAGGCTGCCAGTAGGTTGCGCTGCGTAGACCATGTTCCGTCTGCTCTCCCTCGCTGCCCTCAAGATCGAAATAAAGGCAGTGCAAGCCAAGAAGAACTTTCCCAGAAGGATCTGTCTTTGCAAGGGCGATGTGAGGTAAGCGCAGGTTTCTTTTTTTGCTGGCGGGGCAAGGCAGTCTTGAGCAAACCTGACTCAGGTAGTAGAACCAAAATAAAAATGTAGCTGTTTTGCTAAAGATGGGACGTGCCATGCAAATAGAAGGGGCGAGTGATAGGATTTATGTGAGTCCTTTCCCCTTTTAAATTACAGATTGATTAAAGTTAGAAGCCAGTCTTATCACCAACAGTTTAATAATACAATTCAGTCAAGTTGAGGCCGACTTACAGCAACCTTTCATGGGGTTTTCAAGGCAAGGAATCAGCAGAAGTGGTTTGCCATTGTCTTCCTTTGAGTAGCAGCCCCAGGCTTCCTTCGTGGCTTCCCATCCAAGTACTGATGGTGGCCAACCCTGCTTAGTTTCCAAGCTCTGATAAACTCAGGCTAGTCTGGGCTGGGCTGTTACAACACCAGTAAGCGGTGCCTGGTATTTAACTCAGTGTCTTTTTCTTTCATTGAAAGCCAGTTTGGTGTAGTGGTTAGGAGCGCGGACTCTAATCTGGGAGAACTGGGTTTGATTCCCCACTCCTCCACATGCAGCTGCTGGATGACCTTGGGCAAGCCATAATTCTGGCATAGCTGTTCTTGAAAAAGAGCAGTTTCTGTCAGAGCTCTCTCAGCCCCACCGACCTCACTGGGTGTCAGTCGTGGGGAAGGGAAAGGAGTTTGTAAGCCACTCTGAGACTCCTTTGCGTACCGAAGGGGGGGTATAAATCCAATCTCCTCCTCCTCCCCCTCCCCCCCATATGCTGATGTGCCATTCTTTAAGGCAGGGAGGACCCTCTGTGGTTGCTGTCTTGAAGCTATAAGCCATCCTTGTTGCCGTAAGCAAGTTCCAGATAAGTTTGTGATGCTGACTGGCATTGGGTTCTAGAAGAAGAAGAAGAGATTGGATTTATGCCTCGCCCTTCACTACAATCTCCTTTCCCTTCCCCACGACTGACACCCAGTTAGGTCGGTGGGGCTGAGAGAGCTCTTTCCAGGACTGTCCTTGAGAGAACAGCTCTGACAGAACTATGGCTTACCCTGCCCGTGGTAGGCCTGCCATCCTCGGCCTCCGTGTGGGCAGCAGCTCATAGACGGGGCTGCTGTTTCAGAACAGCGTGTATTTTATTTATTTATTGAAAACATTTATCCAACTCCTTTCTCCCTTACGGGACTCAAGGTAACTTTGCAATAGGAATAAAAAGGATTACGAGAAGTGCAATAAAAATATAAACAAAACAGTTGTAAAAACCCAGAGAAGTCACGATTTGTGCGTAAAATCAGCGGTAGGTTGGCAGGCACCTCCCGCAATTGTCTGCTTTGTTTCCATATAACTTGCTTAGATGTCATCGAGAACCAAGTACCAACAACAGAAAATCTTGCTCTGATTTTCTTTAATATTCATACGGGGTGACCTAAGTTTCAGTTCTCTGCTGCTAGTTTGAAATGCAGCCAGCCAGTTTACGGGACAACTTGACACCACTTATAGACACAGCATTTCAAACTAGCAGCAAATAACTGAAACTTAGGTCACCCCGTATGAATATTAAAGAAAATCAGAGCAAGAAAACCCTCCGTGGTTTTTCAAGTCAGTAGACATTCAGAGGTGGTTCTGCCATCGCCTGCCCTCTGCGTAGCAGCCCCAGACTTCCTTGGTGGTCTCCCATCCAGGGATTAACCAGGGCTGACCCTGCTTAGCTTTCGAGATGGGATGAGAGCGGGCTCTGAAATGATAGGAAAATGTTTTTTCCAGTACTTTGTGGCTTAGTGACTAGTATTGGGAGATATGAGTTCTCTTTCTAATTTGTGAAATCCAGATAACTTTTGAAATTGTCTCATCTCTGTTGCAAGGCAATGGTTCATACAGATTGTCCACTGGAATCTTCCCCCCACCCCCCAGATGGCAGCACTCTGCTGCTTTTACTGACTCCCTCCTCTCCACTGCTCCCCCTCAGATGGTATACATACTCCTGGAAGAATGCTCAAGAAGCTTGTGTTGCTGTTGTCTTCACAGATGAAATACCATCTGATGCTTCACATACAGATGCAGCTGTGTGAAACCTCCTTGTGGGAGTGGATCACTAACAGAAACAAAACATGCCTGAGAACAGAGGAGCCTACCGGTAAGTTTTAAGCAAGTACCTTTGAAAACATGTTTGGCTGTGTATCATGAAGTGTAGAATCATAGAATCACAGAGTTGGAAGGGGCCACACAGGCCATCTAGCCCAACCCCCTGTTCAGTGCAGGATCAGCCTAGAGCATCCTGGCAAGTGTTTGTCTGGCTGCTGCTGAAAGACTGCCAGGGAGGGGGAGCTCACCACCTCCCTAGGCAGCTGATTCCACTGTTGCACAACTCTTCCTGTAAAAAGGTTTTTCCTAATATCCAGCCAGTACCTTCCCGCCCTTAATTTAAACCCATTCTTGCGAGTCCTGTCCTCTGCTGCCAACGGGAACAGCTCCCCGCTCTTCTCTAAGTGACAGCCCTTTAAATACTTCAAGAGAGCAATCATGTCCTCTTCTCCAGACTGAACAGTCCCAAGTCCCTCAGCCTTTCCTCAGAGGGCCCCTGATTATCCGTGTCTCCAGC